GAAGAAGGCTTCCCACGGAGCAGGGAGCCCGATGCGGGGCTCGATCCCAGGACCCTGGGATCATGACCTGAGCCGAAGGCAGACACTTAATGACTGAGCCACCCAGGCACCCCTAAACATATTTTCATACTTAAAAAAAATCGGGTAAAGCCCTTTCAAAACTTTTTTTCCAGGGCGCCTGGTGGCTCAGTTGGTTAAGCATCCACCTTAGGCTCGGGTCATGATCCCGGGGTCCTGGGGTCGAGCCCCACGTTGGGCTCCCTGCTCAGCGGGGAGTCTGCTTCTCCCTCTACCTGCCACTCCCCCTGCTTGTGCTCTTGCTCTCTCTCTCTCTCCCTCCCTCCCTCTCTGGCAAATAAGTAAATGAAATCTTAAAAACAACAACAACAACTTTTTTTCCCCTCACACTATTTACTTTAATATTCTGGCCTCCATTTTAAGTCTATTCACCTTGAACAGCCTCTCCTGGTGTTTCTTACCCTCAGGTGAGGTCCTTTCAAGGCCCAACCTACTGGTACAGATGAGACACCCCCCACCTCCCTGCTCCTCTGAAACTGCTCTTTTTAGGGTAACCAATAGCCTCCTGGTTGTCCAACCCATGGACACTTCAGTTCTTTTCTCTCTAGGCCGAGTTTCCTTCTCTGCAAAATGGAGAGAAAAGTACTTCAGAGAGTTACTGTGAGCGTTAAATTAACAAATGCACGTGGGATACTCACACAGTGCCTCTCGTCACGGTCCTTGTAAATGGACCTCTCAGCTGACCTCACTCTCCTTGAAATTCTCCCCTCTCTGGGCTTCCATTGCTTCTCTCTCCTAGCTGTTCTATCTCAGGTAAATGGGCAGTTTTGTGTTTGTTTGTCTGTTTTTTAAATGGCAGGTTTGTTTCATCACTTAACAGCTGAGCAACCTTCAGCAAATCACTTAACCTTGCTAATCCTTCCTTTTACTAAAGAAGATACTGTACATAAAGTACCCGCCACTTAGCAGGTGTTCAGGAACTGTCAATTTCTCCCGTTCCTCCCTTCCCCTCAACACTATATCTCTGCTCAGCTCTCTTCATGTTTGACACACTTTTCACTGAGGTCACCTACTCTTATGGTTTTTACATGACTTGACTAATAATCTCTACTGGCAGATGGAATTCTCCATGCTTCAAATAGGAATCAACTGCTGCTGCTGGACCCCATTCAGTTAATTTAGACCAGTGGTGACCAAAAGAACTTTCTGCAATGATGGAAATGTTCCAGGTTTGCATTGTCCAATATGGAAGCCGCTAGCTCCCATGCGGCTGTTAGGCCCTTGAAATGTGACTAGTGCAACTGAGCAAGGGCATTTTCCTGATATGCCACCTGCATTCCCTTCCCTGCTTCTGTACATGTTCCTCTCACCTGGGCACCTCAAAACTGAGAGTACCTTCAATCCTTTCACCCTACTCCCTCCAAGTTCCTATCTCAGAGACTGCAACCAACTCCTACCCCAAGTCTCTAAGCCAGGATCACTTGCACTGCTTCCCACACTGCTTCCCACGAATCACGAAGGTATGCTAATTTGTACAGAGTATTTGTCCCAAAGATCTGCTTTATACTTTGAGTTTACCTAGGCATGACAATGCCTGACTCACCACACGACTAACTAGCTCTTTTTGAATTTGTGGCACTGCTCAAACTGATCAAATTATTTCACCCTTTTGCCAAATTCAAAGACATGAGGCCAGTTTTGTGTTTGAGTACATCCAAACAGCAAAAGTAGACATTCTGAGACCCGATAACTATCAAACATTTAAACGAGCACTTGTCAGTAAAGAAATGTATTGAGGGGTGCCTGGGTGGCTCAGTATGTTAAGCGTCTGACTTCAGCTCAGGTCATGATCTCAGGGTCCTGGGATCGAGCCCCACATCGGGCTCCCTGCTCTTTCTCTAAATAAATAAATAAAATCTTTTTTTAAAAAAGGAAAAAAGAAATGTATTGAGTAATTTCCCACAACACCTCGTGACTTTTCACAGCCCCCTGTCACTCCGCTGGAAAGCTCTTTCATTTTTTCCTCTCGAAGAGAATGGGAAGGAAGCCAACTTTTGCTAAGTGCCTATTATGTGTACATCACACATTGTGCTGGACATGTTCTAAACTGAGAAATGAAAGCTCACTCTCTTTCAGAGCCAGCTCCCAGAGGGGTTGTCACCCGCTGGTCTCACCCTCCATCCCAGCCACAGGGAACAATATCCTTCCTTCCTTTTTTTATTTTTTAATTTTTTTAAGATTTTATTTATTTGACAGAGAGAGACACAGCTAGAGAGGGAACACAAGCAGGGGAAGTGGGAGAAGGAGAAGCAGGCTTCCCGCGGAGCAGGGAGCCGGATGCGGGGCTCGATCCCAGGACCCTGGGATCATGACCGGAGCCGAAGGCAGACGCTTAACGACTGAGCCACCCAGGTGCCCCTCCTTCCTTCCTTTAAAGCACAAAGGTTTATGAGCTTGTCTCCCCGACTAGTCTTTGTGCTACCGAAGGATGGGGCTGTTACTTACACAGTTTTGTATTGTCAGAGCCTTAGTGTGGTGTCTGGCACATTAACAGGTGCTCAATAAAATCTGGCAGGTAAGTACGTCGTGTACAAAAAACATGTATCATACCTGACTTTTTGGTAAGCTGTTCCTCAACAAATTTTTTCTGTTCCTTCTGAAAATCTCCTATAATTGTCTGTTAAAAAATATATAAAGAGTCAAGTTACTTTGAGAACTTTATTATTAGATAAGAATTACATTTAAGATTTGTGAAGTCAGGAGATATTTTATTAATTTTCTTCATATAAAACAGTTAAAAAAGTAATACTTCCCCCTTTCCCCAACAAACAGAAATTCAACATTTCTGAATTTCAAGTATACAACTCTTTTATGATGGATTATCTTTTCAAATGCAAAGGTAAAATGAGTTAAAAACTGAATTTTTGCTTTATTCCAAAAAAACAATAAAAGCCAAGTCAAATCTCATTCTAACAAATAGTACACATAACAAAGCATCTAAATAACAAGCTATCTAAAGTTTAATTGATGACCTCCTTAGTTCAAATAATTCCCAACATAAATGAAATTCCCTGGGCCTGGACCCTACCACTGTAGGAAATGAACAAACTTACTTAAAAGTGTAATTCCTGGGGCGCCTGGGTGGCTCAGTTGTTAAGCGTCTGCCTTCGGCTCAGGCCATGATCCCAGGGTCCTGGAATCGAGTCCCACATCGGGCTCCCTGCTCAGCAGGAAACCTGCTTCTCCCTCTCCCACTCCCCCTGCTTGTGTTCCCTCTCTTGCTATCTCTCTCTGTGTCAAATAAATAAATAAAATCTTTAAAAAAAAAAAAAGTGTAATTCCTAATGGGCTAGGACTTTAAACACTTAAATGAATGACTCAAAGGCATAAATATTTGGAAACAGTTATAGTTTAAAATTAAATTCACAATATAAAAAGTTTAGTGTTACCCAAAAGTATCAGTGTATTTTAGAATATATTAAAATTAAAACCAAGGTTATTTAAATCATAGCTACTTCTTACACAAAAAGAGAAAAAAAAAAACCCAAGAATCTCAAAACAATATTTTTATCAGAATATGATATCCTACTTGGGTTGATAAAGTTCATAAAAAGGGATAATTATATTAGCTGCTAATCAATTTCAAAAGATGTTTAAATGTACCTTATCAATGATGTCATCTATCTTTCCTTCTTCTACTGATTTCTTTATTGTTTGTGCGGTTTCAGCAACTGATTCAGTTATCTTTTTTGTAGCAGCAGTTGCAAAGCTAAACAGATAGTCTGTAAAGAATAAAAGACAGTCTATGCTCCATTCAAGTACAATGGTTATTATATTTGTGATTGTCCCTTAAAGAGCTCTCACGGGAATCTTAAACCACAGGGCACGATTCTTGTTAACTAGGACTTCAAACACTGATAGCACTGACAGTACTTCACTTTCTGGGTGGACTGGCCATCCATACCAGGCCTTTAATTAATCTCTTTCAAAGAGTGCTAGCATTCTCCCACCCCTTCTCCCCCAGTAGCTGTTTCAGACTTGTGTTGCCCTTCTCCAGTCTCTCATTTTAATTTATCTCAGTAGATAATCTCCCTTCCAACTTCACAAATAAGATCAAGGCTCCCTTTCACTTTCCTTCCTTTCCAGACCCTAAATATCCTTTTTTATTTTCTCCTTCCCTCTTGTTCAAAGAAAACATGCCCTTCCTTCCCTAGATTAAGCCATCCCATAATAAATCTGGAGGAATTTTTAATAAATAGGAATCTTGGCAAGCCCTAATATAAACATAAATCCTTAACCTAATAATAATGAGCAAATATGCAGAATAAGATTAAAACTGGAACACGTAGGGGCACCTGGGAGGCTCAGTCGTTAAGTGCCTGCCTTTCAGCTCAGGTCATGATCCCAGGGTCTTGGGATCAAGCCCTGCATCAGGTTCCCTGCTCAGCGGAAAGCCTGCTTCTCCCTCTGCTTCCCCTGCTTGTGCTCTTTCTGTGTCAAATAAATAAATAAAATCTTTAAAAATAAATAAATAAAAATAAAAACAAAACTGGAACACACGAACTTTCATCTTTACAAAACAAAGCAAAAGCACAAATTTAACTTTCCTGAAAACTTGAAAAGACACAAGTATCAAGGCTCTATTGCAACTATAACATAAAGGTCTGTACATAGACAAATATTGTTTCTAAGTCCACACTGTATACAATGTAGGCTGCAGGAAGCAACCTCAGGCAGGTTCTGAAGCTGGACTTGCTAGGGGATGCTCCTGGGCAACTGGCCTTCCAATCTCATCTAGTGGGAAATACTCTCTTAAGTTAGGGCAGTCTTGCCTCTGCTACTTGCACCTGCTGAGGGGCAGGTAGGTTGACTCTCTCAACACTCAGGCGGGGGGAAACCCAGATAAGAATGGCAAAGGGAGCTTGGCACACCAGATTAAACCCTCACTGGTGGCTGGTATCTCTTCCAGAGAATCAGGCAACTTGTACTGCTATCTGGGAGCAGCAGTACTATCTGCCAATCTGAATGACCCTCTCTCCCACTTTCTGTAGCCTTTACCATAAACAGTCTACTTTCTCCCATTGTGTTTGGTGGCGTTTACCTGTCGGTGATGTCAACAGCCCATTGTGACTATACCACAGGATACTACTTGCCTCTGGTTTCATTCTCACCATTCTTCCCCCTCCTATTCTACATTCATATGACCCCAAGAAATTCTTGAGTACCTCCAAGGAGGTCTCAGATACATTATTCCTTGGTTTGAAACACTTTTATCTGGCCAACTCTACATATACTGTGGGTCTCCACTTACACAGATAGCACTTCTCAGGCAATGTTCCCTGGCTCTTGACTAGAGCAGGAGCTCCTGAGATGTGTTCCCTCAGCACCTGTGTTGCCAGACCAACAATATTCGTGACACTCTACTGATTACTTGGTGGCTCAGTCTTCTCAGTTAAACTGAAGGCCCATCCTACGTCCCACTGGGGCAGGGACCAAGGTTGTCTGATTCACCACTGTATCCGCAATGAGTGACCAGTAAGTACTTGCTAGATGGATGAATGGGGAGCAACATAATAGTGCTGAGTTTTAGGGCGGTCCCTCATTTCTCTTTGGTTATGACTAGTCTATTTACAAAGTGGTATGATAAATTGGGTAGACAGCCAGATTATTTTGTAAAAATATTCTTTGCTGACAGTCTAAGAAATCTAAAGTTCTAAAAGAGCAGGGTTCCTTTTAAGATTTTCTCAGGAGAATGTTTTTAATTAGAATCATCATTTTTATTCTAAGGAGGACTGCCATTTAAAAACTGGTATTTTGGGGTGCCTGGCTTAATCTGAAGAGCGTGTGACCGTGGATCTTGGGGTCATGAGTTTGAGCCCCACACTGGGTGTAGGGATTACTTAAATAAATAAACTTAAAAAAATAAAAACTGGTTATTTTAGCATAATAATCTCAATTCTCAGATTTTAATGACTCCAAGAGTGGAGTACACTGAACACAGAGAACACTGGAGGAAATATAGTTCTTGCCCTCAAGGAATGTCCATTTCTAAACAAACAAGCCAATAAAAGGCTCAAAGACAAGAGAAGCAAGAATAATCATTCAACAGAGGCCACTCAGAGAAGGGAGGGAGAAGGTCTCCCAAGAGTAATTAGAGAGTGCGATGGATTCCGAGGTCAGAGGGAGTGGGGTGTGGGAAAGCATGATAGGAGATTTTCAGGTAAGAAGCTCATAAAGATGAGAAGTGGTTTATTAATTTTGCAAATTAATATACTGGATGACACCAAGTTAAAGACAGTTTTCATTAAGTGGTTAGAAAAAATTGAGACTAAGATAAGAGTTAACAGGAAGTAATAGGAGTATAATGTCCACTTCAGGAACATAGGCACAAAGAGGTCTGAACTAAAGCAGCAACCAAAGAAGAAAAGGAAGACTAAGTAAAATGGCTCTCGGTGAGTATGACGACACAGCCTTATGGAAGGAGAGGGCAAACTGCTAACAATGAAAGTAGTCATTTTAATCTCACAATCATCCTGGGAAGAATAGGTATAATCTGCCCAGTTTACAGATAGGTAAGCCAAGGCTCACAGAGGATAAATGATTTGCCCATTAAGATAGTGGCAGACTCTGCTGACTGCCTATCCAATGCCTAGCCCCTTCCTTCTTGCCAAAACAACCCCCATTTTGGTGGGTGCTCATCAAACCTAGGGGTGGTCTTGGGAACTTCCGACATAATCAAGGTCTTCTCATTATGGCTCTGTTGGATTCTCTGTAACTTGCAGCTGAATTTTCTATAATTTGCAAATGGTATCACAATAAAGACAACAATGCAGGAAACTCAAACATAAGCTATCTGCTTCTAACTGGCAAGCTTGTGCCCCAATTCCATACTGCCTCATCTCATATGAGCAAGTGACAAGGGCTTACAGAACTGAATGGAATGATAAGGATAAAGGAAAGTGGGAAGGTTCTCAAAGGTCAGAAAAAGCACACATTTGTCAGAGTAAAAAGAATAAAGAGATTAAGGCTTGCTGCTAGAATAAGAAAATAAGGAGCAGATAGTGGTTTCTAAGGCAAAGCCTTAGAAAACCAATATTCTTAAGCCATTGCTGGCTAACTTTTCAAAAATACTGTATTTCATACAATTTGAGCATCTTCATGTTGGAAGGGGCTTTTAGAGGTTACCTAATTGAACCTCTTATCCAGGTAGCCCTACTTCCAGGGATGGGGAGCACATGACTTCAAAGTGTAGCCAATTATTACTGTTATCCCCCTCTAATTAGAAAATCCTTTTCATTTTCCTTGTCATTCCTACCTCTCAGATTTAGATCTGTCCTCTTAAGTAACATAGAATGACTTTTCTACAAAAAAACTTTCAGAATTTTGAGCAATGCCCCAAGTTTCTTCTTCAAGCTAAAATCCCCAGTTCTCTTTATTATTGTTTATAAGATGTGGGATCCAAGCTCTTGACCATTTGCACTGCCCTCCCTCATGGTAAACCTGGGTTTGTCATCAGAACTGAATCAGTTATTTTACTTCTGTATTGAAGCAGACATGTATTTTCCTACATACACACTAACTTTTGGGGCCTTCTTAGTTTTGTAAACTAAGCAAGTTAGGCACCTAGAACTTGAAATGCACTTTCCTTACAGAAAAAGAGGATGGCCTAATTAATACAGTTCCACTGCAAATACTAAGAGCACTTTTCAAAGAAGAGGAGGTTGTCCTTCCTCCATTTCTGGGCATGGACTGGCCTTAGAGACGGTTTTGAAAAAACCAAAGCTCATTTTTGGCCATCCTCCCACTTATTTAAACTGTGCAAATGACTCATGTATTTAACACTCTCAGAGGTATGGATTTTTTTTTTTTAAAGGAAGAGTACAGAAAAAGCTTCAATTTGGTCGACTTTAACAAAAATCAAGCAACCAATCTGTGCTGAATTAGAAGTTACTTTGGGGCATGAGGCCTTCAGGGAGGTAGGGAGGAGCTCTTCTGTGAGTTCCCTTATAAACTGCCCTCCTTCTGAAGCAGGTAATCCTAGGAGGCCAGAGTTTATCAGGAAGAAGGACCAAGGATGGGAAGGTTCGGTTTTGGGTGAGGGAGTGGAATCTAGGCCTGGGTGTCCACCATTTGTAACTGGTGAGTTGCCTAAATTTACAAACAGATCACCATGAACCAGAAGTATTTAGGTAGTATTGAGCGTAAGAGCCCACGTAGATTTTAAAAGGCTAAAGAAATGAATCTACGTAGTGGGAGTCGGGCTCAGAGGCACTTAATTTCAGTTTTTAAGAGAGGAGTCTTTTCGGGGCACCTGGGTGGCTCAGTTGATTAAGCCTCTGCCTTCGGCTCAGGTCATGATCTCAGGGAGGTCCTGGGATCAAGCCCCGGGGCTTCCTGCTCAGCAGGGAGTCTGCTTCTCTCTCTCTCCCCCTCCCCACAGCTCGTTCTCTCTCTCTCAAATAAATAAAAACAATCTTTAAAAAAAGAGAGAGGGGAGTCTTTTTAGATAACATATAGGGCGCCTGGGTGGCTCAGTTGGTTAAGCATCTGCCTTTGGCTCAGGTCATGATCCCGGGGTCCTGGGATCGGGCCCCACGTCTCTGCTCAGCGGGGAGTCTGCTTCTCCCTCTCCCTCTGCCCCTCCCCCTGCTCTCTCAAATAAATAAATAAAATCTTTAAAAAAATAAGTAAATACAAACGTGAGGTTTCAAGTTGACGATAAAGCCCTCGCTGTTTTAATAATTGACTTCTGGGGTGCCTGGCGGGCTCAGTCACTAGAGGATGTGACTCTTGATCTCAGGGTTGTGAGTTCAAGCCCCATGTTAGGCATAGGAAATTAGTTTAAAAAAAAAAAAAGCGACTTTTGATAGTCCCCTGAAGATCAATGAAAATAGTTCTCTATGTTCTATGAAATGGAGTAAACACCCATACCCTGCTTTTCCTAACATGGTCCCACTTGTATCTATCTCAAATACCTAACATAGCCTTTCTGCTCTAGTCCAATTCATCTCACATCTTTTGAGTATTGCAAGCTCATTTCTTCTCAGTTTTCTACACACAAAACAGTTGTTCCCTCTTTAGAGCTTTTGTTGCACAGCACTTAGTTTTATTTCTCTTGTGCACTGTTTGGGGACCTTGAGCTGAGATTCTGTACTGCCGTATCTTGAGATTATGTGTTTTCCCTGCCCCCTCCCCAAACTTCTTGAAATGTTAGAGCCTTTCTCATTCAAATATGTGTTTCTCCACTCTCAGGCTCCAGCCTCCCCTATGAACTGGTCTTTTAGTAGATTCTTAAAAAACACTTGCTAAATTTAGTATCTACCTTTGGTGCAGGTCTCTCCCTTGTAGTGCAATCTGCTTTAGGCCCCACCTTCTCAAAGACGTTTTCTTTTATTATTTAAGCCCGCCAAGGTCTCCAGAATCAGAATTACCAGAGCTCTGTGTTTATTCTTCAAACCTACTACTTTTACTCTCCTCCCTAACTAGACTGTGGCTTTCAAATTAGACAGACCTAGGTTCAAATTCCACATCTACTGCTTACTATCAGTGTAACTTTGAGCCAGTAACTCTGGGCTTGTTCTCCCAACTCACGGGGAGGTTTAACAGATTAAATGAGATATCGTTCATCAAACATCTAGTACCGAAACCTGCATCACAGACAAAAATGGACAGCTACTTTCCCGCCTTAAAAAAAAATTCCACTGCACCTAAAAAGGAGACCAGCCTGAGGGAGGCCTTCGGTAACTCTTGCCCGCAATTTTACTTCGGACAACACACTGTGCCCTAAGGGCACAAAGGGCACTTTTCCAACCAACTAAAGTTCCCCAACGTCCCCCGTCATGGGGGTGGGCGTGTGGAGGTGAAAGCTGGAGGACTAAACAAAAAAGATTCCTTGTCAAACCTAAGGACGTCGAACCACACCGTTTTACGGAAGCCCTGGCTCCCAATGTTTACACACCTCGTAAAGACTGACCTGTCACCAGGAACTTCAGGCACAGGATTGACTGCTAGATGAAACTTCGGCCTTGCCCAGATCCTCATCAACCTCCCCTGTCCCAAGACGACCGAGTGACAGACACACCTTCCTCCCCTTCCACCCACCCCACACCCCCCAACCAGTCGGGTCCGCGCCCTCGGGCGTCAAGAGAAGGGAGCGGGCACCCCCCCCCACACACACACACTCTGGTCCCGAGGGCCGGAGGAGACTCACTGCCGAGGCCTTTTGCCTGATGAAGGAGTTCCTGGTCCCCCGCTTGCCGCGGCTCCTCCTCTGCCGACTCTGACACCTCTTCGGAGCACTGCTGGGGTGGAGCGTCTCCCTCGACCTGCCCGTCTCCCTCAGATTGCCGGCCACTCGCCGCCGGCTGCTCCAAGCCAAGCCAACTGCTCAAACCCCGGAACATCCCGCCCGCGGGGCCGGTACAGCGGTCCCGGCCACCGGAGACCCTAACTGGTACTGCCTGTTCCCGACTCCACAATGCGCGTCTCCCAGGGAGATGGCCGGAAGTGCGGCCCTGGAGCAGCCTCTCTATCCGTCTCCCCGTCTCTATGGCCGCTCTGCCACCGCCCGCACGTATGTCATTTCCGCCAAAGGCCCCTCCCCCATTGGCTGTTTATTTCAGTAACTTTATGACGTGCGTGGAAAGCAGACAAAGGGTTTTCCCAGCGTAGTCCCGCCCGGTCCTCTCTCGTCCTTCCCCAGCTTTTCTAGGTGACTGACTCTGACGTGTAAACGGCGTTTCTGTCTCTCTAAGCAGCTTGGCTGCTGGCTTAGCCTCGCCTTTTCAGGTCCAGCTGGGCCGTCGCCGCAGAAATGGACGTCTTTAGCCCCTTTCTGAGTCCCAATCAAAATTGGCCCAGGGCCTCTAGGTCCAACGACTAATTTACAGGGAATACAGAGGACTAAGGAAAGTGTTAAAGGACACCATGGGATGCGGGCAGCAGAATTTAAGCTGTGAGAAACCACAGGACAAACGACCTTGTTTCTTTAAATAAATTGTAAGGAAGAGAGGGGAAGGGAAACCTATAGGTCAGAAATGTTTTAAGAGCCATAATCCGTGGCAACCTGTGGATTTTATTTGGATCCTAATTCAAACAAACATTGGGGGGGAAAGTATGACGTTTATAAGAATTGGAAATTTGAGTACTGGATAGTTCATAAAATTAAGAAATTATTAAAATTTTAATTCTGGTAGAATACCCATAAAATTTAACATCTTAACCATTTTTAAGTGTACAGTTTAGTAGCGTTAAGTACATTCACATTGTGCAACCAATCTCCAGAAGTCTTTTCAAGTTGCAAAAATGAAACTGTACCCATTAAACAACTCCCCATTCTCTCCTCTCACCAGCCCCTGGCACTCACCATTTTACTTTATGTCTCTATGAGTGTGACTACTCCAGGAACCTCATATAAGTGGAATCATACCATATTTGTCTTTTTGTGATTGGCTCATTTCACTTAGCAAATGTCCTTGATATTTATCCGTTCGTAGCATGTGTCAGAATTTTCTTAAAATTCTGCCTTTAAAAGGCTGTTTAAAAAGGCTGAATTATATTCTATTGCATGTATATACCACTTTTTGTTTATCCATTTATGTGTTGATGGACATAGGGATTGTTAATTTTTAAATTGTGGTGATGGTGTTGTGTGTACTTAAAGGAGTTCTTCTCTTTTAGAGAGGTGTGCGGAGATGTTTACCAAAGAAATGATAGGATGTCTGTCATTTGCTTCAAATTAATACAGGAAGGGGGGCAGAAATGGGTAGGGATATAGATGAAACAAGCTTGGCCATGGTTTGACAGTTGTCCAAGCTGGTGGTTATACTTTTATGTCTGCTGCTCTGTACCTTTAATTTTTTCTGTAATAACATGTAAATGGAAAAAAAAAAAAAACTGGTCAAGGGAACAACTACCCCTCCAGAGCAGGGAGTGCATGAACGGATTTCACAAGCACAGTCTTAAGCAATCTGTTGGCGAAGGACACCCATTATTCCTCCTCCTCTCACCTAGTTCCAGTGTCCTGTGGGAGTATGTGGGGACAGATTATGACAGATTCTGATTCTGATTTCCCTGCTCTCCAGTTTTCCAGCCTGAGTTATATTCACAGTTCAGGTCCAGGATTTTGGCTTAATAAGGCCAAACAACTTTATTGAGATATGATTCACATACCATATAATTAACCTATTTAAAGTGTACAGTTCAATGGTTTCTGGTATATTACACTATTAATCTTTTAAATTGTGGTAAAATATATATAACATAAATCTATTCTTTTAACTTTTTTTTTTTTTTTAAAGCAGGCTGCACGTCTAGTGTGGACTCCAGTGCGGGGCTTGAATTCACGACCCTGAGATCAAGACCTGAGCTCAGCTAAGAGTTGGATGCTTAACCGACTGAGCCATCCAGATGCCCCCCATTTTAACTATTTTTAAGTGTACAGTTCAGTGGCATCAATGATATTCCAACCTGTTTTTAGAGTCTGGGTGTTGATTCAGCTTTGAAAGTCAGGAGACATCTTAGGACCAGTATTTTCTGGGATTTATGTCAGTAAGAACCTAAAAGTGGTCAACACTACTGAAAAGGGATATTTGTTTCAAGTATGATTGGATTGAGCCCAGAATTTCAGTCAGAAGCCTAGAGGAATGAAGGTTCTAACATCACCATCTAATAGATGAATAACCTTGACCTGTTATTTGTCCTTTCTGCCCTTCAAGTTTCTTCACCTGCATAAATATAGTGCAGAGGTGGGGCCCAGCCCATTCAGCTCTACTTTTGCCTTATCTCCAGGAACACCCAAAACCACAGTAAAGGCTGTGTTCCCCAGGGAACAGACAGTTTTACAATGGTTCTGAAAGGTGGAATTCTTCAAAATAAAAGATTATAAGAGAGCACGAGCAATCGACTTAATGACAGACTTTGTTTTCATCTCTTTTTTTATTCTTATTGCTATGCTGGTAGTGGGCCATGAAGAGGATATTCTTGTCCCACCCCAAATCAGTCAATCTGAATCCTGTTATCAAATTTGTTTTTCTGTTCAGTTTTTTCCCCATTTTGGATTAATAATACAATAGTTATCATAATAATCCCTTTGTATTCACAAAATATCTTCCATCTGTTAGCTACATAGAGGAATAGAATAAGATAAGGATAAGGCCCCACATCCTGTGGTGAAGAATCTGGCTTTGGGGACAAACAATTTACATTGATGTCCTGGCTTTCCCACTCGTAATGTACCTTTGGTCAGGACACCTCACATCTCTAAGCCTCAGGTTCTTCGTTATAGAAAGGGGATCATAGTAATTGTCCTGGCTGTGAAAAGGGAATGAAGTATTGAAATGTGGAAGGAAACTTTACATATGTGGCAGGGGAATATTACCATTGATGTCAGCCCATTTTCATGAGTGTCCTTTCCATAGGATGCTCTGGAAGACTTGTTTCATAACAAACCTCTCCATGCCTCCAGGCTTCAAAGGTGTTTCCTTTTTTTTTAATTTTTAAAGATTTTATTTATTTATTTGAGAGAGACAGAGAGAGCACGAGCAGGGGGAGGGGCAGAGGGAGAGGGAGAAGCGGACTCCCCGCTGAGCAGGGAATCCGACGTGGGACTTGATCCCAGGACTCCGAGATCATGATCTGAGCTGAAGTCACATGCTTAAACCGACTGAGCCATCCAGGCACCCCAAAGTTGTTTCCTCCTTTTCAAAAAATTTATTTATTGGCCTCCATGAAGACCTGGGGCTTCCATACACTTCCTGCTGAGTGGCGCCTCTGTTTATTTTTCCAGAAGTTGACATCACTGACCCTAGTGCCTTCCTTCTTCTTCCATGACATTACTCTTGGTGGGGAGAAACTCCCCTTTGCTTGGAAACTCACTGAATTTTTGCCGTACAACCTCCACCCATCCTTGTTGCCGTCATCTATTAGCTTCAGGGTCACTCCTCCACATTCCCTGAAGATTTGGTTCCTTGGCCTCAAGATTTGGTTCCTTGGACTCCTCCAAATTCCAGGGACCTCAATGTCCCACACACTGGCCTGGTGGATGCTCGACCCACTCATTTGACTCTGTTTCAGATGTCAGACCCTAAACTGAATCATCTCCTGGAATTGCTTCCCTTTTGAAGTCTCCAATGCTAACGCCACAGCTGGTAACAGCGTGCCAGCTCCCTTATTCCCATAGGCCTTTGTCTTTAGTTCTGTCTCTTTTCTTCCTAGTCTATCAGCTCCACACTGCTCTCGGTCCTTTCCTGTATGGACTAGACGCCCAGTTCAATACCACAATCACATTCTCCCAGACCCTCAACTGCCTCACTCACCTCCCTCTACTCAGCCCACAAACCGCTTTTATCATAAATATCCATATTTATATATCAACCTATAGATAGCTGGCAAAATCATAGCTGGGCATCATTACACACTATGGTTTCTAAACTCCCCTAGGTCTTCAATGACACTTGTCTAACTTGGTTCTCTAGTGACTTACACTGGTTATTCAAAATTTTCACCACTTTCCTAACTCTTCCATCTCAACTTCAAACCCTTCTATTGTCCAGTTAGAGCCTTTCTCCTTCAGTGGTTTGTGGATGTTCTTCCCTTCCCCTGAATAACCTGTGTCCTCTCCCAGCACTAGCCATCCTCCAAATGCTCTTAAAAATTCAGTGGGTGAAGCCCTGATTGCCCTCCACCCCACTTTTGTTTGTTGTTCTTGTTACACTAGTACTGTTTGAGGAACTGTACTAATTTTTTCTTTTAAGATTTTTTTTT